ACCAGGGATCAAACTCAGGACCCTGTGCTTGCCAGGCAAGCACTTATTCCACTGAGCTATCTCCCCAGCCCCTCCTGTTCACTCTCAACCATCTTTCCCTTAGTCTATATTTGTTTATTCATCTACGGGAATGTTGACAAGTGTCTCAAAGTTCAGTGCCCAACAATAAACTTTATTTTCCGCCCGCAAATGTGAAATGTCCTGAATCTTTCTCATCTCAGTAAACAGTAGTGATATTTTCCATTTACTGAGAATGAAGACCTTGGATTTCAGTGGGCGTATCTCAGAATACTTCCACTGCTCTCAGCCTGGACCAGGGCATCATCTCGTTTGCGTTATGATAATTCTTCTTCACTGTCTTCTGCTACCCATCCTTCCCCACATGCATTCTACCTCTGTAAGGGAGCCACAGTAATCCAGTAAAATACAAGTCAGGTTGTGTCACCTATCCAAGTTCCCAGTGGTTTTCCATCCCGAAGGGGCCTACAAGGCTCTACATGATCTGGATGCCTTTATCCTTCGCTCCTCACTTTCCATATCTCCTCTAATCCATCCAACTCCCCTTGAATTCTTCAGGCATCTTCTTGCCTGGTGTGCTTTTACTTACAGTTCCTTTCCACAACACCGTTCTTTCCCGGTATCTTCACGGCTTCTCCCTCCTCCATGCAGATCTCTGCTCAAATGAAGCATCCCTTGACAAGCCCAGATCAAAGTAACGCCTCTCATTGCTGTCTGTCCCCTTAATCTATTTTTTATCATTGCTTAATATTATCTTTTTCACTGTCTCTCTTCTCCCCACAATCCTTCCAGTTTGAGCTCCATGGAACAAGAACTTTGTCGTTTCCTAATTGCTAGATCTCTTAACTCCTAGTGTGGTTCCTGGCAGGTGCTTATTAAATAGAGGGGTGCAGGAAGGAATGGGGCAAGGAAAGGGGTGAAGTTAAGGAAACATGCATGGTAATGGTGCACTTACTTTTGCAGCCATGAAATACACAGGTGGGAGTGGAAAAGAATCAGGACACGGAAGCCTATCCTACAGTGGGGGCTGCCTTCCAAACCCGCATAGACCAAGTCAGAAACCATGAAAGTGCAATGTTTAGGTCAGGGCACACACACAGACAGCAGATATTGGGCCCAAAATGGATCAGAAACAAGAAA